TAACTTAGCCAAAGCTTTTCTGAGAAGATGAACCTCTTGAGTTAATGCCTCCCAAACTATTTTTCCTTGTGCTTTTCCAAATAATTTGTATCATCTTTTATCAGGTTGTACTAGCTGCATTCTGCTGTTCTTCAGAATGCAGTTTTTGAAAGTTCACGTCCCTGCTGCTGGCCACGTGCTGTGGCTTCTGCTGTTTTACTGCCTCCCTGTGAGAGACACGCCTCACGTTTGGGAAACATGGTACTGTGAAGGAGATAGATGTGTGCAGGCGAGGTAGAGAAGATAAGGGAAAAGAGAGTAAAGTGACTGAGTTAGGCATTGGCACTGGGTTTTTTGGCTGCATGTATTACCTGCCTGCCTTTGGCCAGATACCAGTGTGTGCGAATGGCAGGCAGATCAGTTTGTTTGCTGCTCTTTTTACAGTCAGGGTGATTTTGTGTTTCAGATTCAGGCTGTGAAACAGAATTGTAGATTTGGATTAATCAAATGTTGCACAGTTGAAGTTACTCTTTTGGTGGTTTCAGTTTGCCTCTTTCAGCATGAGAGGAGTGTGAAGTTTATTTTACGTGTAGCTGCAAGAAGTGAATCTTTTACTACTTTGAGGGCTTGTCTGTCTGGGGAAGCTATTATAGAAGAATATGGTTTGTGGGTTTACAAGTACAGCTTATTAGTCACTCATATGAATGCTTGCTCTGGAGTAAGCTGTTGGCAGCTAGCAGTGATTGCTCTGGTCACTTTACCAAATGCTTGTTTTTTGTGTGTAATATGATCTGTTCTGAGGATCTGGGTAACCCTCAGTTTAGAGGGTTTTCAGGGACACTGTGTCATGATTGCATCTGCCAGGGAAAAGTGGGTGGCAAGGGTTAATTAGGGAGGGCCTGGTGTGTCTCTACCAGCTACACCTGTTGAGCATATAACTGTTGACATGCCATTTGCCTTCTCCCAGCTGGGGCTGTGGATCTTCAGAAAACTAATGTCTGAAGGTGTGTGCACTTATCCCACCTGTTGTCTTCAACTCATGCTGGTTGATTTGCTTTATCCCTTTTTCCTCAAAGTGAGGAACTCACAAAGGTGAACAGTTTGGTCTTTTGCTTATAGTCAGCATCACAACTGTCTGTATGCTCCAAGCCCTTCATTCACCAAATCCCCCTTTCCTTCATTATGTCAAAGGTTGACTTGTGCGGATGAACATCTGTTCCAGCAGTAAAGTCAGACTGTGGAGACAGCAGCTCTGTCAGTTGTCTGGCACATTTATGACCAGGCTGGCAAGGTAGCCTCGGTGCTCAGTAACAGCAATGAGCCCATGAGGTGAGGTTTAGTTGTGATGGTTTGAAGCACTGTTCAAAAGGGTGCAAATAGAGTTTTGACAATATAAAGTAGATTCTTTTACAGTTTTGTCTTTATTATAAATGGATGTTTTACTTTTTTTTTTCTTACAAGTTTGTCCAGCTGTTTCTGGATAATGCTCTAAGATCTGTCTGTTTAAAAGCAGTCACAATTTAAAAGCAGCAAATATATCTACAATCTGCAGCAATTAAGTATGGTTTTCTCTAAGAGCAGAAGACTTCTCTTTTTCATCACATTTGTAAACATTTAAATTCTTATTTAACCAAAATTGCTCTAATGATTAGGTAAAATAAAGGCTTATATAGTCTTGGTTTTACTGATTTTGTGTTTGTATATCCTTAGTTGTTTTCTTTTAATAATTGAGCTTGTAATAGCAAATGTTCTTTACTAAAATAAAAAGAAAAATATAACAAATAACTGAAGTATCAGATCCTGATGTCTTCGCATTGCTTTGTTCCAACTTAACAGCACGTTGCAGTTACAGGAAGGACAGCACATGGATAAATCATATTATAATTTTTTATATTCAAATCTGGTTATAAATTTGAGAGTGGACTAGGACAGTAGCGAGAAGCTGGAGTTTGTCTGACTGTAGATGAATTTAAACTTCTCTCATGATGTAATCAGCTCTATGTGTATTTTAGGATTGCTTATAAATCACTCTAATCAGAAATTTTGTATCTCCTTGTAGCTTGTCTCTTTGAAATACTAAAACGTTGATCCTTGTTCTCTTACCTTGCTAGATTATTTCTTTTTCTTAAATCTGATTAATCTTCTTCTTAAGCTGAGCATGAAGAATAAGAGGAAGATCTTGAAGATAATATAAAATCCAGGAGAGAGTATTTTTAATCAAACTCATACAAATTAATAAAGCTGCAACTAGAGTATCATATTTGAAGATCTATTTTCAGTGGTTTCAAAAGAGGCTGTAGATTAAAAGTGAACAATTTCATTTTATCACAAGAGATATCACTCCCAGATACTTAAACCTTTTACAAGGCTGTTACATTAAAAATCTGATAGGTTTATGAGGATGTAATGGTAAAGTTGCTGACAGAGCGATACGCAGATGAAAACTGAATGGCTTTCGAAGCCATCTGAAAGAGATCATACTTATTTTACTTTACCTTCAAGACTGAAAATAAGATCTGTGATGGGGGCAATATTATTTTCCATATCACATAGTTGTAAGCCTTTGATATCTCCTGAGCCACAGTTAGCTCTGGCAAGAGGTTTGATGAAAGATCAAGTAGAACACAAGGCAAGCTTCTTGTCCCCTTATCTGTTGTAAACCAGAATGAATATTGTTCTTTTTAAAATTGTAGGTCTTGATTAGAACTGCAAGCTACAGTACAGGGTTTTCACCTGACAATTAGTTTCTGCTAAAACCATGTGATTTTTATGTGTATGTTCTAGAAAGTTCAGTAAAGGAAGGAAACAGTGCTCAAGAGATAATCTGTCAGGATTTTACTAGTTTGGATGAATAGTATAAGAAAGATGTGAATTGGCAGAAATTTCACCTGTTTTAAAGAAGTGAAATAGAGGGACTTAGTGTTCTGTTATTTAAAAATTACTTTACAAAATTGCCCTGAAAGAATTCCATACACCTATAACTGTGAAAAATGTAAATATGGAATACAGACTTATTTTGCTTTAGAGCTTTTAATTTTTGCCTGTTAAGACTGGGGTAAATTCAGCTAGTTCTGCTGCTGCTCTGAGCAGGAAAATGGTAAGAAAGTTGATGGGATGATCTGTAAGGGGGTTTTGGTTTTATTTGGTTTTGTTTTTTTTCCCTTTTCAATCTGATAGTTTGAGCTTTGTATCAGAGATGTGGGAAACTTATTTAATGAGTAACAGGCAGCAAGTCTGCAAATAGAAGTTCGGAGGAAGTGCTTGATGTTGGTTCATCAGCTACCCATAAGTTTCATGTGAATGAGAGAACCAACAGTATCCCATTTTTCCCTCCTGTCCCATGCAATCCTGCGATCGTCGCCTTTATGTAATAACATGATGTTAATTTTTTAAAAATTTTGCTTTATGCCAGGCTATTTAAGAGTACACTTAATTCCAACTTTGCAATATGTTATAGCCCTTTCCAGTCATGATTTCTCTGAAAATCATTTGACTTTGTCTTGATCAGCTCCGTGTCTCTTCCATCACTGATGCTATTGGTGTTTAATTCAGTGGTTTACATGTTTGGCTGGTGGTATTTGTTTCAAAGGTAAAATGCTGAGTTGCTCACAATCACTGTGAGAGTGTTGCTAATTGCCTTTAGACCAAACAACAACAAAAACCCCCCAAACCTATGGTGAGGAAGGAAAATTGAGTGTGGTTGCTAATCCACCTTGTAGAGGAGCCACTTTTTGAAACACTCGCTGGTGTTTCAAAACTGCTTGCTTTGACAGCTTGAGAGAAGGGGATGAGTTTTTCTTAAGTAGATGTTGTAGTGCCAACTCCAGCCTCTGCTCCTGGGCTACTTAGAAAGACTGTTCTCTTCACCTAGATGGTTACATGACATGACAGCGTATGGAAAATAAGATAGTATTATTTATTACTTCCAGTTCAGCTGAGATTTGTTTTCTTTGTGCTTCTGGGTTTACCTTTTATGGTCTGTTGTAAGTGTTCAAGAGTGTTGGAGTAGTAGAGGGCCATAGGCAGCTATTGGTGGTTTAGGGTGATTATAAGCTCACACCGAGTTTACCATCTGCACTGTGGCCTGAGTTTCATGTTCATTGGGCAGCAGCCTGGCAGTAGAAAAAGCACTGACATGGAGGAAGTGGAACATTAGAGTCGAAAGTTTACTTATTCTCAAAGTGGAAGGTAAGGAATGGATTTATTTAACATTTCATATATATCCACAGACAAACTTGGAGGCAGGAGTTGAAGAGTTCAAGGGTTTGAGCACCTCAGTGCAGCTGATAATCATGAGGAAAAGTAAGACACGTATATCCCGAGTGGAGATTTGGCTGGTGGGATCTGAAAGGATCTCTCTCCTTCCTTTGTGTAGAGGAATCTGGGAAAAGTTCTCTTTCTAGTTAACTCTCATCATCCTTTGCTCCAGGATGTGCTAATATACTTTGGGAAGCTTGTTGTGTCATCAGCTGGGCTCCAGTCTGTCATCAGCCACAGGTGAATCACATTTACTGCCCTGCCTCCCCCAGGTGTGTGTGTGACTTCAGTATCCATTGCAGTGACAAAAGGCAGAGGTGCAAGTTTGTTTGGAAGTTTCAGTTGGAGGAACTAAGTGTTTCAAGTAGAAAGATTTGTATATTTCTTGGTTATTGTTAAAGTTATAGCATCACATTATAAAGTTTGAAGTCCCTTTGGTAAATTTTGAGGGAGTCAGTATGATCCTGGCAGTAGAAAGAATTGCTTTCTTGAATAATATGAGGTATGGAAATTTCATGTTTATAATACATGCTAATGAACAGAAATGAACCGAATCTGCTGTAACTCATAATATCTTCTAGTTGTGCTAGTTTATAAACACCCTTTTTTTTAAAAAAAAACAAAACACTATAAGTGTGCATCTTCAGGTAATTATGTGAGTAGCTTGTTGCTATCTTTTTTTCTATTGCACTTGAAAAAAATAAACTTCATTGAGTCTGTGCATTAGTATGTCAGTTGGTTATTTGTGATACTTCTCTAATCAGGTACTGAAATGTTTGTTTCAACTGCGTTCACAGGCTAAAGAGTGCAATGGCGTCAAGGCTCCAATTGATACAAGTAAACCCAACCCTAATGAGGTGGAATTTGATAACCTATATTTGGATATGAATGGCATAATTCACCCTTGTACACATCCAGAAGACAAGTAAGGCATTTTTTTGTCTCTTTACAAATACAATTTATTGATACCATTTCAGATGTTAAATTTAATGCTCTGTGTTTTAGGCCAGCACCCAAAAATGAAGATGAAATGATGGTTGCGATTTTTGAGTATATTGACAGGATCTTCAACATTGTAAGACCAAGACGACTTCTTTACATGGCTATAGATGGAGTAGTAAGTATTGATATATTTAGTTCCAAGTAATGTCTGTTTGTGAAATTAGGGTAGATGCCATCTGCTCTCATAAGATCCTTTGAGAAATAGTTTTCTAAGTTGAAAAACTACAGGTAAAATACACTGTTACTTTTAATTACCCTCAACAAAATTAAATTATTCATGGTTTTTGTTGTCCATGGGGTTATATGAGCTGGCTAATGTAGTCTACTGCATTCTGAACTTTGCTTCTGAAAAGCAGGAAACTTCTGTAAGACAATAACACTCTGAAAATGTTTATGTTCCTCTGTTCTGGGTGTTTAGTAATAATTTATGCCGCAGGCTGGGAAAGACCAGAAAATGATTTAAGTAGATGCACTTAAAATGGACAGTGACTGAATTGTGCTGTGGAATATTTCACAGACTAGGCTTAAGGCACATTTGAAGTTGAAAGCTTGTCTTTTCCATACCTGATCCTCATTTCCCCTTGGTATATCAGGTTGTCTAATGAAAGTTACCACCTTTTCTTAATAACTTTGCTTTACTGAGTATTTTTCTATCCAGATTGTGTAGTCTCACTGAGAGATGCCAAAAAGGCCTAGCAAACTGCTGGTAGGCCTCTTAAGCTTTCGCTGTTTTTCTAGGCTTTTCAGTTTCTCAAAGGTAAAATGAGTATCATTAAGATACTTATAAAAACATAAAAAGAATTTTAACCTGAATTCAAGAGCAGGAATTCCTAATTTATGTGTGTATAGAGAAGTAATCCCAACTAAATGTTGGTGTATCCTTTTAAAAACCCCAACATACCTGCTGTAAGTAATAGCTAACTACTGTCTGCTGTAGTCTTTTTATTTTCAAAAGAGTTATGAATACAATTGTAGGAGTTTCTTGTTGGAGAAAGGGTATGTAATAAATAATGCTTCTCAGGTACACATCACTGTAAGTTTCATTTATTTTGCAAGTGAAACTTTGAATCCTTGAGCACTGTATATTTCTGAGATGTACAGCTGTGGTTGCTACTGGCTGACCTCATGAAGAAGCTTAAGAGACCTATTTAGAAATGTTTCTGGCTCCCTTTGCTGCCATATGAGAGCTAGTGGTGATGTGAGGGAGGGACAACAGAAGTCCCTGTTTCAGTTACAGTTTAGATTGATGTCTTGTTAAATGGTTGTAGAATCACAGACTGGCCAATTTCAAAAGACTCGTCCAGAAAGGAAACAATTGTCCAGATGCAATAACTGAACCAAGCATTATACTTTTTTTTTAGGCTCCACGTGCAAAAATGAATCAACAGCGGTCGAGAAGATTCAGAGCATCAAAGGAGGGCATGGAAGCTGCTGAAGAGAAGCAAAAGATAAGACAAGAAATTCTGGCAAAAGGTAGAACTGTGGCCATATCTGAGTTTTTTCAAGTGAGAGTCATCTTACTTGTTTTGAATGCTTCAGTAATAGTTAGAAAAGGGATGTCTTGCTCAGTGGATATTTGTACATTGCTAGGAGAAGGAGGGAATAACAAGCCTACAGAAGGATGGATCTGTGTTTTCCAAAGTTAAGAACTAAAATAAAACAAAATATCATTTTTTTTTTCTTCTTCTGTCTCTTGCCCGAAATGGATTTGTGTTGAGTGCTCTTAATTCCTTTAGAAAAAAATTGAACAGAAGAGCAGGGATAAATGTAGCAGTGAGAAACTAACCAAAACTCTTATGGAAGGAAGTACAAGTTTTTAGGGCTCAATGAAAGGAGAGTTGAGGCTTAAAAGCAGGGATGAAATGAAACTACTGCTGCACAGGAATAATGAACTGTGAGCAAGGGATGTTACTTGATAGTGGAAACTCTAAACTCAGTGAGGAAACAAAGTCAGTGCAACTTTCTAAGAGTGACAATGACATGACTGGAGTGGAAGGAGTGTGTGTAGCTGAAGCATGCTGTCTGGGCTGGAGCAGTTAATTCAGTTGACTGTGTAGGAGGAATGAATGCTGTAGCCCAAGTGAGAGGACCATTGTGTAACCTAGTTAGAGATTTAAAAGGAAGGACAAAGACTTTATTAACATTTCTTCCTGTAGCATTTCTAGACTTCGAAGACCCTTTATGAAGCTCAGAGATGAGAGAAGTTGGTGTAACCCTGTTTGTGAGCCCAAATGAATAGATAGTGGAAACATAGGGGAGAATATGTAAGAAAATAATTATTTCCTAATGTTTTATCTCATTTAGCAAGCTTAGTTTCTTTAGATTTCTTTCGCAGTCTTTTGACACAATAGGTAGTGAAATCAATTTTCTGAAGTAACAACGTTTGTAAATGTACTAACACCTTATTTTAAGATGCAGATAATATAATGGTAAGAGTTGGTTTAGCTTTGGGTTTTTTTGTTGGTTTTATTTTAAACAAGGTAATTTTCAATAAGTGTTAATGTTATCAGGGGAAGCATCAGGGTTTTTATCATACAAAAACATTTTTAATGTTCCATATTAATTTACTTCTGTTAAATGTTTTTATTGCTTTAGGTGGCATTCTTCCTCCAGAAGAAGTGAAAGAGAGATTTGACAGCAACTGTATTACCCCAGTAAGTAATCTTGCACTTTAACCAGTAATTGCCAATGTCTGAATGAAGGTGTAATGTATTTTCTTCCGTCACTTTTTAGGGAACTGAGTTTATGGACAATCTGGCTAAATGTCTCCGCTATTACATTGCTGACCGTTTGAACAGTGACCCAGGGTGGAAAAATTTGACAGTAAGTTTCACAGTCTCATACTCCAGGAAAATTAAGGTGATCTGTTAGGCTGGGTTGGGAAATAATGGAAGAGTATAAATTTAACAGATTTGTCTCATCTTCTGGCACTGTACTGTTATTAATAATGGACCAACTTGCACATTCTACTGGGACTTCAGAGATACATTTCATCCTAATAACACAATCTAACAGCACCATTTGTTTTGATTTCATTTAAGAGCAATGAAAAGATTTGATAGTAGAAGCCACAATTTGATGTAATGGGAGACAGGGTTTTAGGAATACTTTTTCTTCTCTTGAGGAAGGTGTCAAGATACATTGTATATGTATTCTTTTCAGTATTTCTTCTTTTTTTAAAATTGTTTGCTGCCTCAAGTAGCCTTAATTTTCTTAGTTATTCTAATGATGGATGACAGTAGGTGACAGGCAATGAAAGTACATATCAGCTTTCTTGCCTTTCTGGACTTTGAAATTCTCTCCTCCTGTTCCTCAACCACTCCACCCCCACTGAGTTTTGTTTCTGTCAACCCTCTGTTTGCTCTGTATAAGAGGGCAGAGTAGTCAGTCTTCTCAGGTGCAGCTGTCTCTTTTATTTTCCATAAGTTGACTACTAAAGTGCTCTAATTAAAGGGCAGTTGACTCTGCTTAATTCTCTCCATCAGATATGAGTTTTATAAACGCTAGTGCTCATCTGGACATCAGTGTAAGGAAGTGTATAATGTGATAATGTATCAGTGTGTTACGAGTTCAGAAGATCTAAAGGGAAGTGGGCATATGTCTGCTTTATCTGTTAGCTCTCTAGTGCATATTTTGATTGCCCTGGTAATTTATCAGGAAAGTTGAAATATGTTAGTTAGTGACGTGATCATTTCGGTGGTATTTGGATCAATGTCAGCTTCATCCTAGAATTAGTAGGGAAGAATTAAAATCTATTCATTGGTTCCAAACTCTTAAATAACGTCATTTTGTATCATAATGTTTTAGTTAAAACTGCAGATTAGAATTTCAAGTATTCATCAGTGAGATTCCGTATATGAACTACATAAGGTTTTTGTTTTTGTTTTGTTTTTTTTATTGTGGCAGCATAAATTGTTTACATAATTTCAATGTTTCACAGGTTATTTTGTCTGATGCTAGTGCTCCTGGTGAAGGCGAACATAAAATCATGGATTACATTAGAAGACAAAGAGGTAAAATTCAAATAAACGTGAATGTTCGTTTTAAATTAAAGTGTGGTCAGTAGTAATACTTTTTGTGTGACTTTGGTTGACTAAATGTAATTTTCTTTTGTATAGCTCAACCAAACCATGACCCAAACACTCATCATTGTCTCTGTGGGGCTGATGGTGAGTTCTCTTCTGCTAGCAATATGTCCTCTTAAGTTTTCTTGTACTGTTTTGTGGTTGAGTTGGGCTGTGGTTTTTAGGCTTTCACTTGTATTTGTGTAAATAATCCAATGTATTTGTTAGTTTTTGAAAGCTCTGTGTAATATATGGAGAAAGATATTTCACTTAGTTTGTTGGCAAGGACATCTCTGTGTTCATACTTGCTTAAGGTAGAATGTACTTCACTTTTACACTTCTTAAAAAAAGCTTAATAATGTTTATCCTTCATTGTATTTTATTCTTCTCTTTTGATTGGTAGCTGATCTGATTATGCTTGGGTTAGCTACGCATGAACCAAACTTCACTATAATTAGGGAAGAGTTTAAACCAAATAAACCCAAGCCATGTGCTCTTTGTAACCAGATGGGTCATGAGGTTAAGGATTGCCAAGGTTTGCCCAGAGAAAAACAAGGCAAGGTAAGAATTTTACTATTTCTAGAAATTATTTTTATCTATAAACTAATTTATATTTTAAGGAGAGCCTCAATTGTTCTTGCTATTGGTTTTGGCTGAAACATAATGCAAATTATATTATTGGGATTGCTTAGTTTTCCTTTTATATTAATAAGTAAAAATTGTCCTTTGTAGCACAAAAATACTACGCCACACCTAACATCCTCACTTGCAGTGTTTTGTTGGATGGGGTTTGTTTTTTTTTTCCCACTGACAAGAAAAAATGATCAGTAACTTCAGACATGCAAAGCAGCAAAATGTGTGCTTGGTATAAGAACTTGAGAGACTGTACTTGTATACCTCTTAACTCCTCTCAAAGTAATCCTTTAAAATTGAGCTGGAGAAACTTTAAGGTGAGCTTGGATGTAATGCAACTTTTAACTTCTATTTTAGCATGACCAGTTTGCAGACAGTCTTCCTATCGCTGAACAAGAATTTATCTTCATCCGATTATGTGTTTTGCGAGAGGTATGTTGAAGCAATTTCTAGATGTACTTTGTATAAATAATATTTTTAAACTCCATACACAGTGTTTTCTAATGTCCTTTTTCTTTTGTTTGTGTGTTGCAGTATTTGGAAAGAGAACTCACTATGGCCAGTTTGCCTTTCAGTTTTGATTTTGAAAGAAGTGTTGATGACTGGGTCTTTATGTGCTTCTTTGTGGGAAATGACTTTCTTCCTCATCTGCCGTCTTTGGAGATTAGGTAGATGAGAATATGTTTTCTATTCCTGCAAGTATACCTACTGTGGCTTAAAATTGTAAGAATCTCATGCTTTTGTTTGTTTGTTTTTAGGGAGGGGGCGATTGATCGCTTGGTTAACATATATAAAAATGTGGTGCACAAAACTGGGGTAAATTCTTTTTCTTTTTCTTTTAAAATATCTATGGTTTTGCTCCAAAAATAGACTTGTTTTTCAACTATATTATTTTCTAATTTGCAGGGATACCTCACAGAAAGTGGTTTCGTCAACCTACAGCGGGTCCAGATGATCATGTTAGCTGTTGGAGAAGTTGAAGATAGCATTTTCAAAAAGAGAAAAGATGATGATGTATTTTTTTGTTGTTGTTGTTACATTATTGGAGTTTGGTTACTGTTAGACTGTGACACTCCTTTAACAGAATAAGAAAAAAACCCCAAACTTCATATTTTTTTTGTTACAATTTCCAGTGAATTCCTCTGTATTCAAAAAAAGAACTGCATGCTTTGAATTGATTTTCTTTTCCTGGGGTGCAAGGTCTGTTTTTCTGATTGTTATCCCAAGTAACAGCAAAATGAAAGCTGCAAGCAAATTCTGTTACTGTCTGCAACTTTTTCAATAGCTGCTATGAAAACTGAAGGAGGAATTGTTTTGTAATTTGCTGCAACCTGTGGAAGTGCAAGCCATGAGCAGGGGTGAAATGCTCAAGTTGAATTCTAAGTGCATTCTTGCCTTGCAGTATCTCCTGCCATTTTTAATGCATCCATAAATTGTTGTTCTTTTGATCTGTCTCCACAGTTTGTGCAGGTTTTTGCAGACATATTCCAGTTTATTCATTAACTACAGGGTGTAAACCACTTTGTAAATGAAGGAGCAGAATTGTATTTACTTCCTAGTCAAAAAATACTGTGCCAGTGCTGGCAGAATGTTTTGTTTATAATTGTGCCAGTCTGCACCTCTCTTGAAGTGGGAATGCCAGTCTGATGTTCAGGTTTTCAGTTTCCATGGCCCAAGAATAAGAGATATCTTTCCTTGAGCCTCTTCTCTTCCTGTTTCTAGGACTTTAATCTTTCCCCTACATTTTTTTATTTTTTGATGACTGTTCCAGTGCAGGCAAGGTAACTTGTGTCCTTTGACAACTGCTGTCACCTTGAAGTAAGGCCAGTGGTAAACTCAATAGATAATATAAGTGATTACTGAAGTTGTGGGGCTTTGAATACACAACTACTTTTTCCCCCCATAGGTTTTCAGGGTAGGGTAGAAAATAAGAATTGACGTGTATCTTATTCAGAACATTACATAAGAACCTTGTAGCCTTTGTCAGTAGAAGATTATAATGAAATATTTTTCCAAGAAATCTGTATGCTTGACTGACTTTATTTCTCTTTATTCTCTATTTAGGATAACTTTAAAAGACGGCAAAAAGAAAAGAGAAAAAGAATGAAGGTAAATCAATTCCTTTCACAATACAAAACCTAGCAAGAATTAAAATGTATACTGTAGCTTTCAGCAGATGTGTTGGTTGAAACTGCCGCTTCAATCATGATATTTTCTGGCCTGCGTGTAAACTGTTTTAAAGTGGGTTTTTATGTCTTTTTGTAGACTGGAGCTTTGAAAGAAGAAATTGCATATTAAAGGTTTCTTAAAAGGGAAAGAAGGGAGAGTGTTGAATGTGCTGGATGAAAGCTGTATGTTGCGTCCTTCAAATCTACACAAATCTGCACTTTCATGACTATTTAGTGATGTTTCAGCATGGTCACCGTGCAGGAATTAGTTTTCCATGCATTGACACAAGTCGTCTCAGCAATTGTATTGCTGAGGGCAATGGAGCTGAGCGTAAGAGTTTAGATTTAAATATGTATACCAGTTTGCATTAAATGGATTTGCTTGATTGGAGGCATATTTCTGAGAAAGCAAGGAAGGCTTACCCCAAACTATAGTTACCTCACATTCTGCCTGCAAGCAAGTCAGTGTTGCCACATATCTCTCAAATGTAATAGAGAATCATTAGCTGTGATGGGAACATTGGATCTTTCTGACCTATGTAACTTGAATTCTTTCAAATTATGTTATTGGAACGATGTTGAGTTTTCTTCTATTCAGAAAATATTTGGATATTTAAAAAATTAGCTCTTGTATGTTCATTTCAACATAGTCTTGTTCTTGGTTAGGACGTTCAGAAAACTTTCAAGGCGTATGATGTCCCCACTCTGAGTACTATCTAGATTTTGTGTTTATTTTTTAATTTATGTATTTTTTTTACTATCCCTATTAGGTTGGAAGAGGTTATTCACTTTGCTTACAAAGAACATGTTCTTCACAGTAAATTAGATGAAGTTTCACTTCCCCAAAAAACTGTCTTTCAGCCCATGTAGAAAGAACATCGGCACAAAATGCAGGGCTTGTTTGGAGTTTAAGAGCTTAATCAATTACAGGAATATAAGGGTTTCACTTGTCATCTTTTGTCTGGTTGTGATTGTTAAACATAACTAATTTAAGCTGAACTGAGTGAGTGAGTAAATTAAGCTTGGTTTATATAACGTGTTAATCTGAAAATTGTGAGAGAGTGTCGTCATGCTGCTGTGGAGATTACACGGCTTTTTCACTATACTTGTGTGTATTTATCTTTTAGAGGGATCAGCCTTCTTTTATTCCTGGTGGACAGTTTTCTCCTCAAGCTCTGGGAAATCGATCTAGTCCTCAGGCAATCAGTAACCCTAGACAAGCTGCTTTTGAGATGAGAATGCATGACAGACAGAATTCTGTAAGTAGATGTTCAAAGGTATTTATGCATAGAAGGGGAAATAATCACATCCTGTGTTACTCTGGACACCTTTTTCTCTACCCCACCAAGCTTTCTTGAAAAGCAGACACCAATTTTATTTATTTATTTATTTATTTCCCCCAAGGAAGTGGCTTTTAATAACCAATTTTTGTGAGACAACTTGAATAAAGTTGTGTTCATTATTGTAATGGTTGATATGATACTGTTTGTTAAATAGTTCTGGGGGAGCAATATGAGGTGAATGTATCCCAGTCAAATGTGGTGGAACTTCTCCCCAAACTTGTTTGGCACGTGTGGAATCAAACCTCTTGTGAGAACCAGTTTAGGAATGTCTTCAGTAGGTTTATGAGAAACACAAACTGAATACTGAGCTGGAGGTCTTTTAATACTCTTTTTGGAGTTTGTATACACACAGAGACATACATATCTGTATTTTAGAAATGTGTGATTTGCATAACTGTGTTTGTCAGCTGCTCTTACTTTACTCCAAAGCATTGTTTTTCACTGGGAAGAGGAAAAACTTGGATGAAGTTTTTGGAAAGATATTAGAAAGTGAGGGAAAACTGGAAATAAGTTGAGTGCTGTGTTAGAAGTCTTGATTGTTAACTTTAAATAACAATTATGACAGACATTTTCTTTCTGGGCATAAATCTTCATCCACACAGTGAACAAATTAAAGCTCCTTTTCATCATAAAGATATATGTTTTGTCTCTTAAATCTAAATAAATACAATATGCTTTTTCAAAGTATAATTTCTACTATTCTTCCCTTTTAATCTTGAAACTTTTGCACATGAGTTAAGCAAATCAGTTCCTTTATGGAATGAAAGAATTTTATTTTAGGCTCTGAAAGGGGTTTAAAAGATCAGTTGTGAAGAAACTTCAGAGTATTTTTGACAGTTCTGAATTACAAGCAGCATTTTTACAGTAGTCTGCATGTGCATTTTTCATGGTTGGCTGTAAAATGAGGTTGTAACACAGGCTGTAGGACTAGAGAAAACAGTTGTATTCCAAAATTGGAATATGTTTAAAAAATGGCGTGTTTTATCATGTCTTGCTTATTGCATCTTTTTCTTTCTCAAGTACAATGAACTTTTTGCCTGTATATATCAATGCCTGCTTTTTAACACAAAGATGTGTTCTTCTTTTCTTTTGCTACTTGACTGAATAGTTTAAGGTTTATGTAGCTTTTACCTGGAGTTTTTTTGGGAACTAAAAATATTGCATGTGTTTATCACAAAGCTGTTAATTTTAACTTGAATTTTAAATGCCTAATAAATCCTTTCCCTGTCCCCCCCCGTATTTATCTGTAATAATTCTGACCTTAGACAACTTCATCATCTCCAAATACCAGCTTCACTTCTGATGGCAGCCCATCGCCGGCAGGAGGAATTAAGCGAAAAGCTGACGATAGTGACAGTGAACCTGAGCCAGAGGATAATATCAGGTGAAACCATTTTTTTGTAGCACTTTGTTAGCAAATTGCTGAAATAGATGCAGTCTAATTAATGCCATTTAGCTTAGAGCAGCAGTGCCTTCAGATGCTTTTCTGTGATCTTTTTATCCACTGGTAATTAATGTGGAGGGTTAGAATATTCAGTAAATTCCAGTGAGATGCGTAAGCTATAGCTGTTAAATCTAAGTATCTAGATTAGTATGCGTGCAGGTTTTCATCCTCCAAGCCACTGCTCCCTTTGAGACCAAGCACTAGATTGGCGAGGCATTCACTGTTCAGCTTTGATTGTGTGAGCTGAATGCCACTGTTTTGCAGTTGAATTTTTGAGCTGTTTAACCCATAAAATACAGTTGCATTCACGTGTGCAGCATTATTTATCTTGACTAGCACAATATGTTTTCCTCCACTTTTGATTTGTAGCAGGCCCTGTTTTGTCTATGATGACAAAGTTCTTTAAATATCTTAAGATGACTGATCCCTAGATGATTAAGGGATAGGAATTTTATGAGAATTAACTGACAGTGAATTACCAGTGAGTCTGCATTTATCAAAGATTTAAATCAAGCTATAGCCCTTTAGTCAAGGGTGAAGGCACTTACAATTTTTTATTAAAATATTCTGACCTGATAAATGCAACCAGTAGGTTCTTGTTTCCTGTAGAGTCAGGGGATGTAGGTGGACATTGGAAAGCAATAAGGGTTATTTTGTTGTGAGGTACTGATCACTAGTGTCCAGCACTGTTCTTGTGATGTATTTGTGACATCTAGTCCATGGAATCCTCCAATATCAGATATTCTAGCTCTCATTCCTATTTTGTTTCATGAATGTGCAGATCTGAATGGATTTTTTTTTTAATCAAACAAGTAGAATTTTTATCTAGAATCAGAATAAATTTTAACACTACTTTCCATTTGAATTTTATCAGAGGTTCTAAACCAAGTTTTAACAGGTTTATAGCAGCTAGTGTGAGTGAAACATAGTGATTTATGAGAAGCAATAGTTTGACAGGGTTGGTATTGTCAAGCAAAATATGATCCATTTGTCCACAGTTATTTAAGCTCTTTTGTAGCTCAGAATGTTTATTCATATCCCTTTCTGAGTAGAAAGTAATTTTATACTTCTCATTGTAAGTAAGAACAACTGCATAAGTGTACTAAATGCAGCAAAGTTGTTTGCAAAAATACATTTTATATTTAGAATGACTTTAAAACTAGAACAAACAGTTCTAGTCAGCTAGCAGGTTGGTTTTTTGTTATCTTACAGAAAAGGCTTTTGAAGTTTATGCAAGTGTCTAGCTGCCAGGGAGCTCCTAGGGTCAGATGGTCATAGACTGTAGCGCACGTAGCTCTGTCCTTGTTCACCTGGCTTTCTTGAACTCTTGAAAACATCTCTTGGTTTCTCTACCTCCTCATCAGTTTGAATCATCTTTGAACTAGCTCAGGTCAGATTTTAAAAAGTATCCCTGTACTGGGCAACCAACTTGAAACAGAAGCAAGGGAAGATCTTTTTTAGTAAAACCAAAAGGATATGCATTGTGTAAAAAAAACAAACAAACAAAAAACCCCCCCAAAAAACCCACCAAAAAACCCCACCAAAACAAAACAAAAAAACCCCCACATAAATCAATCTTTGCCTGTCTTAAAGACTTCATATGCTATATTTATTGCACTGTGACATTCTGACAAGTGTAAGTTTGAGTTGACCTCCCAGATTACTTGTGTGCTTCAGATCCTGTATGTAATTTAAAGTGGTCACAGCTTTTGTGGAAAGGAATCTTGCATGATGATTTTCAGATGTGACAATCAATGCCAAATTTTGAATTACTGAGAATAACACTATATTTAAAAAAAAAAATAAAAATAAGGGAGTATCTGATTTAACTGGTTCTAAATCAGATTTGCAATTTGCTTTAGTTTACTTGAATACCAAATTTAATGTGAACTTTTGAGATATGTGTGTCTAAAATTCAGGCACTATGGTGAATAATAGGTTTAAATTTAAAACAAACAAACAAAACAATAAAAAAACATAAACGGAAAAGCACCAACACAGATAGTTTTGTGAGGGAGGCCAGTTCTGAAGCATGATACAATGGTTGAACCAAATGTTAAGTAGAACTTAGTATTTCTGTTACTTAAACTACCTTTTTAGATGGCAGTCTCTGAATTGAACTGGAATTTCCCCCAAGATTGTCATGTCTGTTAGGACTAACAGCTTGAAGTTTTATGTGCATGTTAATAGCTCTTTGCTTGTGGCACAACTTTTCTCTCAAAATTGACACATCACCTGCTGAATGACAGGGAACACACGAGATGTAGTGAGCGGATAAAACGCCTGAGGAAGGAAAACTGTGGAGCCTGTAGGCAGTGATTCCTGTTGCTGCCCACGCCCACGACAGCTGTGTTCCCCCTGCCCCCTCAGTTTTTTGAGGGGCCCATGGTCTGTGCTTACTGTTATTCTTCACAGAATATTCTTTCTTGTAATGTGGCACTATTGACTTTTTACCTAATGTTATACAGTAGAGCTTAGGGGTTCAGATGCTTGTCTGTCAAAGATGAGCAAGTGGTTGTTTTCCCCTGCCCCATCCGTAGACAGACATAAGGGGGAGCTGTGTGAAGTAAGGATAAATGGTGTCTTGAGACTGCTCTTTTGACTCCAATATCTATCTCTGACATTAAAAGATTGAAAATCCCTGTGTAAAAGGTAACTCATCTGATCTGAGTCAGCGACCACGGGATTCCTGAGCTGCAGATAATTCTGCTGGTAATCGTAGCTTGTCTGAACAGCAATAGAATATAGAAATCAAACTGTTGTTCCTTATTATTTATTTGCTTACTTTTAGTTTTGAGTAGCAGGGAAACTATATAACTTTTCTGCTTGAGAGGGGCATTAAGAATAGAGGAATGAACTTGATGTAAAAAGATATTCCAGTAAGGTAAAAGATTTTGGCCTGGGGTAGATTAAACAAAAAAAGGAAGAAGAGTTTGTTCTCTTTCTAGTGGTTGAAAGAGTTAAAGAACGAAGTTCAAATGGCAGTTTTGTTAGTAGATTCCTGGGAAGAAAGATGAAATTGCCGACTAGAAACAATACTATTCCGAAAAATCCTGACAGCAGCAAGCACGAGTTTGAAAATCTACCCTGCTCCTAACAAGTACTTTGAAGACGTGTTTATCGGGATGGTAGCTGCAGAACTTCATCTGGGTTTTCTATTATGCCAACCATCAAATTTTATTCTCTTGCTATTGAGTATCAGTTTTTAAGCTTTCGTTTAAATTGTATAAAAATGGGAATTGAAGTAGCAAGTGACTTTGGCTTGTATTTTAATTCAGATATGTAAATGTGAATATATGAACACGTGTCAACATCTGTTTGTGTTTGTTATGCAGGTTATGGGAAACTGGTTGGAAACAGCGCTACTATAAAAACAAATTTGATGTTGATGCATCTGATGAGAAATTCCGTCGTAAAGTTGTACAGTCCTATGTGGAAGGGCTTTGCTGGGTTCTCAGATATTATTATCAGGTACTTAAAAAATTATTTTCTGAAATTTCGGTTTTCTTTTATATCTGCACCCTTTTTCTTTTCAGGAAATAATAATTATCCATTGCTCATTTTTGAAAAGCAGTGCTTTTTTTTTTTTTTTTTTAAGATATAAAGTAAGTGGGTGCCCATTCTATTTGACACTCAAGATTTGAATGCAGTTTTTGTTTCTCACATACAGTAGTGGTTCTTGTTAGTTTATTAAGGACTGATGCACATTTTTCCTTTGCAAAACATAGCCATGCACAGTGAAATTGCAGATGAGTAAATGAGCGAACAAAGGACAAAGCCTGTGAAATGCTAGTAAGAATTTGAAAGGAACAGAGTTGTCAGTCTCCTCCATAGATTGTAATGATGTTCTATGAAGTGTATTGTGATTGAAATAATCTGTATCTGATTTAAATCTTTTGATAATTGAGATGTCAGATTGACAAGAGATTAGTTAGACATATTGGGGTTGGTTGCACTGATGGTTAATAACTAGCTTTGTGCCTTGAAGACTGAGTTATATTTCATGTGTGACCTGGGAACAGAATGTGCTCGAGCTGATGGAGTTTATCTGTCTCAGCAGGGCATTGTAGCTTGAATGCAGTACCATGTTGATAAAACAGCACATTTTTCGTAGGTGGCTCACACCTGTCCAACTTAAAGCACAAACAGGGCAAATACCTCACATGCCTGCAAAAAAACTGTGCAGTCCTAAAATTATTTCATTTTAACATGTATTTCCCCCCCCACCCTTGGAACCAAAAGGAAATGTGTTCCCTTCCACTGTATTAATTAGTTGAGTTTGGGCTCCAGCTTGCATATTATGGTGGATGAAAATCAAAAGTTGAAAGTTTGCAAGTCTGTTGCAGTTGATCTGCAGGAGGGCTAAACTCTCCACATCCTTGAGTTAGCTCCTTTTGCAAAGGACAAATGTCACCTGGATACCTTTATAGGTGGAAATTTCTGACATGATCCTGCTGTCAGTTAAGGTCTGCTGAAAACGAACCATATTCCTGTTAACCATGGCAAGATGTATTCCTAGGACTCTACACGTGCCCATGTTTCTTCAAAGTGTGTAAATGAATCTTCAGATTAATTAATTAATCTTCAGTGGAGGTGTCTGCTGGAAAACTCAGTGTGATCTTCAGTGATGCAGTAGTACAAAACCACTGCAAAAGGCAGTCTGGATTTTAAGGGAAGCCGAAGGGCTTAGAGGAACAGAGTAGATGGCAAAACTGAGATAATATTTATGAGGTGACCAAAATATTTATACTCATTTAAAGATTGTAAAAATAAATTCGTTTTATTCAAAGAAGTGTGCAATGGGGTGTGCATTCATTGTTTTGTGATCAGTGGCCATGGCCTTGTGTGCTTTTATAACCAGTCAGGATTGCATTTGCTTGTGCACTGTTGAGAGATTTGTGACTTCAAATGTATGGGAGGTGGACAGGCATATACCAAACTTAAAACTATGGGCAAGTCCCTATGCAACACTCGCTAGTTTAGCTTGTAAAACCAATGTAGTTACAAAGATGTATGTAGGTGACTTTGTCCTTCTGAGTTTGTAGATGTTCTGACTGAAGTGACTGATGCATATGGAAGTGATAGATGCTTATAGTTGCCAAAAAAAAAAAAAAAATGGTGAGGTTGACAACAACTTCAGACAAGACCATAGTGCTCCCAAGAAAACTGAGGAGGAGTGCAAATAGGACCTCAAGGAGAAGTGACTGTACAGAAATTATTTTCTGGTTTAGAAATATTTCAAAGGAAAACTTGATTAAAGTACACAAACATTTAGGGCTTTGTTTTTTGCCATTTTGCTTCATATTCAGATGACTTGAAAAGAAGGCAAGTCTCTCTCTAGACCTTATAAAAATTACATTACAGAGTTAAAATAGCACAGCAATGAAATATTGCACATGCTGCTGTTTGTACTTGCCTAGCAGAACTATATGTAGGCAAGATACTGTAACCTGCTATACATGGGCAGTCTGTCGTATCGGTATGGAGCAGCAGCCAAATCACTTTCTGGCCATATGGAAGTTAGATGAGGAAGCTGCTGGACTGGGGGAATTTAAAAATAGGTTTACTCGAGAGTTTTTGGTATTTTGTTCTGGGTTTTTTTTTTCTTTTTGTCATAATAAGACTTACTTCCAATAACTACTGGTCATTGTTCATAAAACTTCTGACAGAATACATTACGTGCTTTTTTGTTCTTATAAAAAGTTAATAATGCAGAGCATGTTCCACGAGTAGGAACATCTGTTTGGCAAGGGGGAAAAAATAAGGGAAAGGAAAAAAAAAAATAAAAATAAAGAAACCAAACCACCTGGCTTTTGAAACATACTGAAACCATCTGAAGAACTGCATCTAATAATTATAGTCTCTGTAATTTTATACCAAAAATATCGCTGGAGGAACCTCATTGACATTTACTTATTCAGAATTGGAAGTCAGAATAGTAGGCTTTTGTTTCAAGTGGTACTGATAAGAAAAATAGCTAAGGAGGTGAAAACTTGACTTAGACCTTCTAGAGCCACGTTTCCTTTACAGAGTGCATTGTGTTCTGATGTGTTTTGTTTATTTATTTTCTCCTTTTTGAGGATTATTTGCCTCTTTCAAGTGAATGCACTTTTTATTTCCCAATATTCAAGATGGAAGAATAAGAGGAAAAGTAAAATGTTACCCCAAGTGTGTATTGGTGCTTGTACTGAATAGAAAAGTAACAGTTAAAACCAGAATACTTTTCAACCTGCAACAAATATTGTTTACATTTTCACACCTTGTAGAGTGTATCATATCAGGGTTCTCTGGTCCCCCATATTTCCAAGTTAGTGATGGGATTTTGCATTGGAAAACAGTAGTGCAAATTGTGTGCTGCCAGAAAAATACTTCTGTTCCTATTGAGACCTCTGTAATGGCTTTCTTACTGGGACAATTCTACTGTTTATACAATTATAGAGAACTTGGAAATTCCTTCTCTGTCTCATCTGTGTGTATTTCCCTGTGTGAGATGTGGTAGCAACTCTACTCAAGTTGAAAATGTGTCCAGTTGTTACAGGCTCTGCAGCTTAGCCCCAGGGACTGCTTCACTGGATAGACTGTGATTTCCTACTCTTTGCAAGAAATTTTTGTGCTTGATCTTATTGGATTTTCTGCACATACTTGTGTGTGTTTTCTTGAGGGGGAGGAAAAAAGGCATGAGGTGCATTAGAGTGTCCTGTAGCTAAGGTTAAGATTCTGCTGTAAGGTCTTTTGTGTCGTTCCGGTGCTAGGTCCTGTCTCTTTGGCTGTCTCCCTTAGTGACTCAGACCTAGCACATAGCAAGAGTCCTTTGGCATAGAAGTCTATCTGCTGTTCTGTGCTGCTGAGGAAATGCCCGAGGTCTCCATTCACTGTCCAGTGAACTCACTCGCTCTAGTCTGGCTATGAAAAATTAAGTCCCAACCTGAAGTCCAGAGTACCTTTAGAGGCAAGAGCTCTTTCTTTTTTAATCATGGGGACTCCCATTTCTCCTGGTTGATGCTGGGCTCAATTTTGGCATCTTTAGTGACTGGGCTACGTGATTTTTTATTTTTTTTTTTTCCTTTTACTTTTCTGATTTGTCTGATTTTGTTTCTCTTGTTTCTCTACCCCAGGGCTGTGCATCCTGGAACTGGTATTACCCTTTTCACTATGCTCCGTTTGCTTCTGACTTTGAGGGTATTGCAGACATGCCTTCAGATTTTGAGAAAGGCTCAAAACCGGTAGGTCATCTTTATTTATTTATGGTTTAACAGCTGATTAGAAGTGTCCTACATGTGCTTGTTTAATTTCAACAGTTTAAGCCTCTCGAACAACTTATGGGAGTATTTCCAGCTGCAAGTGGAAATTTTCTGCCACCAACGTGGAGGAAGCTCATGACAGATCCGGTAAGAATCCTTGTTGTGTTCCTCTCTGTAAGGTTATGTCATCTTGCAGTTGTGTGACTGTGAGTTGCTCCTCCTTACTTCAGGCAGAAAAATAATGGAGACCAGGATGGAATGTTTTTGGTAGATTGCAGAGATTCTTCAAAGATCCTTAAAAGTGGTTCTTTGAATTCACATATTTTTCAGTGAGAAAAATTATTTCCTGACTCTTCTACACTTCAGTAAGATTGTTTGATTTCTTATAGAAACCTTGCAAAAGTTATTGGGGAGCAGATACATTAACTCAGTTATCTGGAATTATTCTATCCCACTTAACTTCTTGTTTTGATACTCTTAAGTGATGGAAATGCCCTACCACGCTTTGTGTTTAAATGGCATTTAATGAAAGATGTTTCTAGTAGTCAAAGTTCTTTGCATCTTCCTTAGCTTTGTGTTTGCTCGCCCTCTGTGAAGTACAGTACTACATGGCATTCTAAATTAATTTCATAATTGGCCTTAATGATATTTTTATTTTCTCAAATACAGGAATCAAGTATAATTGACTTCTACCCTGAAGATTTTGCTATTGATTTAAATGGAAAGAAATATGCTTGGCAAGGTGAAATTTCAGCTCTCTTTTTTTTGAGCTATAGTATACTTACCTTAGGCTTAAGAATATATATAAAAATAGGAAGAAAATGAAAAATTATCTTAGTGAGATAACGATGGACCAAGCCACACAGGTAACTTATGATATTTGGTATGGGGGAAAAAGTAGTTTACATCAGGTATATTTTTGAAAAAAAAAAATAGTATGAAGAACAAATTATGGTTCAGTAACTGATTTAGGATGGCAATGATAATTAGTAATTTCAGCAGTCATTCTAGATTTATTAATTTGTCCTGAACTAGATTAATAATTTTTTTCTATTTTTATCAGCATTACTGTGTAATTGTCTTTTGTCTCCTTTGCATTTAATTAGTGGATCTTGTTCTGTTCAATCAGTGGCTCATTAGTACCTTGCGAAAAATGCTTTGGGGAATATAGAAATATTTGGATGCGTACAAAGAATGAAAATTCAGCTACGGTATTTAATGCAACTTCTTCTTTCTTTAGAGAATGTTAACTTTAAAGGTCTGCCAAATTTTATGGCTGGTTACAGTATTCAACCAATAGTGTAACATCTCAATTATAGGTATAAACAATTATTTGGGCACAAAATGAAGCATATTAAATTCCAACTTAGTATAAGAAAGCACATTTTTTTTTCCTCTGAGAGTGGTCAGGCACTGGAACATGTTGCCCAGAGAGGTTTGTGGAGGCTCCATCCTTGGAGCTCACCTATGTTCTGGAATAGGCACAGTTAGACACACGAGTATTTTACTCGGGACAGTATTCCAAAATCAAAGAGAATATTCCTAGTTATTATGAGATATGTTGCATAGCAGGTTTTCCCTCTGTAACTTGAAGCCCTTTCTTACCCCTGTTACAATTCTGGCAACTTTCTGTAGTCCTTTTGTCCACTTACCAAATTTACAGTCTAAAGCAGTAATGTTTTAAGTAGCTACCACATGCTTTTAGAAGCCTGTAACATTAGTTTTGATTATTTAATGCTTAGTTTCATTATGAACTCTTTGTTTTGGATTAACATCTGGAATTCTCATACTTAAAAGGCAATTGTGAAACAAATATTTTTCCAAGCTGGAAGTAGAGACTACCTTAGTTAAAAAGCATCTAGTATACCTTGTCCTCCTAATGAAATCTTTCTTTTAAAGATGTGATTATGCTTCTGAAAGCTCAGCATTGATTCTTTTTGCGATCTCCTGGATAATGAACACTTCCCATTTTGTTGTCATTCCACCAGTGTGTTGTGAGGGTGGAAATAAATTGTTTGTTTTCTAGGGTAGGCTTATCACTGTTTCCCTTCACAAGTAGTTATGTTCCAGCTGAAATTTGAACATGACTGAGGTTTAGTGCTGTCTTTGATAAAGCAGTAGCCAGTCTGCATGAAGATTATCCTCGTACTTCATAAGCAGGGACAGTGCAGGTTTCTTGTTTGGTTGGAAACAGCAGGCTGTACAGTTCTGCTCCTTCTTGTTTTACAGTAGGCTAAATAAAATTCTGATTCAGTTAAAGTTTTGACATATTTAACATTTTATTTATAGCTTGTTTCAGACTGGTTTTGTTAGGAGAGTGTACAAGCTTCTGGTGTAATTACACTTCAGGTGAAGTTTTAGGTTGTTGCCTTTCCTTCAGCTCTAGGTCAATAATATTTGTTTTAATAAAATGACATAAGGATCTAAATTCTGAAGCAAAAGTGTTTCAGGCAGACCAAGTTTTAGATCGGGAATCTAAGTCTGTGGAAGTCCAAAGTCTCTGTGAATGCTGTACCTTAGAGTGATGACAAACATGTCTGAGATCTGCCTGCCAGTAGACCTAATACAGGCAGAAATATGAAACTATGAATATCAGTTTAGTAGAAAGCCTTTGCTGTCATCTTGGTCAGGGAAAGCCCTAGTAATGAGGGAAATAACTAAAATAATTACTCCAGATTCCAACTGATAATAATGGTGACAGAAATAAATCTTCAAAGACTTTTCGTAATAAATTTCCTAGTGCTTTCCTGGATTTTATAGTAGAAGAAAACATATACTGGAGCATACCAGGGAAGGCTGTTCTCCAGCTTCATCCAATATGATTGAATGGGCTCCGAGATGTGCTACTTAGTGAGGGATTTTGATCCTGAGAGGAGCCTTCATGTTATCTTGAAGTAAAATTAATAACTGATATGAATAGTTGCTAATGGATAACATCTGTATCACCTCATCCCTGAACTTGGGGTGATTTCTTCCATTGTTGTCTCTTAATAAATTAATTTGAATAAAGTAGCATTGAGTTCTGTCAGAGGAGTATCCTCTGTCAGAGGAGTATCCAATAAGACAAATAATTACTGTCTTACTGAGCTCATCTTGTTCTTAAATGAGGCACGTCTGGGTAGTGGTTACTGCTTCCCTAGTGCCTACCCAGGACTGGGGAGAAGGATGGAGGGCTCTTGGAGATAAGCTTCCCTTTTCAACCTGCGCTACTACTGAACTATTTTTCTCTTAGACAGCCTGCAGGGTCACAACCTCTGAAAATGTAGGGTTTTCTTTTATTTTCTGTGACTGATGCAACACTTGTTTCTTGGAATTTCCAAGAATATATTGGAACTTTGGAGCTTTCCATGTCTTACCCCTGCCTCAACAAGTGTGAAAAAACAATGTTTTGGTTTAACTAGGTGTTGCGTTATTGCCGTTTGTTGATGAGCGACGCCTTAGAGCTGCCCTGGAAGAAGTCTATCCTGACCTCACTCCTGAAGAAAGTAAGAATTGTGATACTTTGTTATGACTTGTTATTACTACTGTGTTTCACTCTTAACTGAGCAAGTTATAGTAGATGTTTGCTTGGATTGAATTATGGTAGGATGTAGCCTCTCCTCCATGGATGGTGCTGGTGATTAGAATGATCCTCGATGGGTTTGTTTTTGTAGCTTTCACTTACTTTTACTTTACTGAAGTAGACCCACATAAGACCTGAAAATTAGAAGGCAGCTTAATTGTATGAAATACTTCTACTAGTATACACTGTCAAAGTACTTGTTAGATTAATATGTTGCAATCAAAAGAATAAACTATGTTTCTAAATTTAGAGTTTATGGTAAAACTTGGTAGGTGTATTGACTGTTCTGACCAGTAGGCTGGCTGTGTCCAGTTATGATAAGTGAAGCTTCATATTCAGCTTACATAGGCAAATGTACCTGTTACTTTCTCTGTTGTACAAAAATAATAGCTGGTTCTTGTAGATAAAATTACTTGGGAGGTATAGGGTTTTTTCAGCCTACCTGTGTCTTTAGCATTACTGCGTTCTAAATTCAAGATGCCTCCCACTGAGCACAAGATTCCCGTTGTTTTACTGTCTGCCACTACCCTTCTGACCAGAGGCATTCTGTTCTAGGCAGAGACACTGTCTTTCCAACACTCTCAAGAAATATTCACAGCTTTCTCTAAATCACAAGGAAGCTTTCCTCTTTGAACAGGATGGTGTGCTGATCTGCTGTATTCCTTCCTTCCTTCCTTCCTTCCTTCCT